TGGAAGTTATAGATACTAAGAATATAGATCCCTACTACACTGTTATGTCATTTTATCTGTAGTCCAAGGCTTGTGCCTTATCTGATAACATCATTCTCCTGATGATTTAATGTTTTTCGACGTCTTAAATTTAAAATATATATCCGTCTTATATACCTCTACTCGTAAGAATGTTCAGAAATTAGTGACTGATATTTGAGATCTAAGGTATATGTTTGTCTGACTGCAGTGAACTAAAATATACCAGTAAACAAATAACTTATGCGTCTATTTCCAATACTTCATGATAATCCAAGAAATTATGGATACACCGTGCATATTACCTGTTTACAGTCACTCATATAAGCCGAGAGTTGTAAGAAAGTAAAGCTGGTATAAACCAATTGACAGAAAACTAAATATCATTCCAGCTTGTAATGATAAAGTTTTCTTTTGGACTACATAAGCTGGTCAGTATGATTCAGGCAGTAAATCGTTGACTATTCATCACAAATAGTTAATTTTTCATCAGCATCAATTTACGTCCAAATTCAAATGTTTCCTTACTTTCCACTGACCCACTACTGGTCAAGACAGTTGATTTATGGCTAATAAGTAATGGGTTTGAACCTCTCTCCTACTGTCGAACTTTTTTCAAATAGACATTACCAGTCGCCTTTACCCAAAACTTGTTAGTCACTGTCTAGTACATGAATCTGTTTATTGTACTGAGTGACAATTATTTCCAATAGTTACTCTTCATAAAAAATGTTGCTACGGTTTTTTTCATAATTTTTTCGGAATATACTTACGTAGAATTTCCTACATGTCAGCTGAGACACTGATTTATCATCTAAACTTTATAGAAAAAAATTCAGTTACTTAAAATATGTTTTTCATGTTTCAAATCTTCTCTAACACTGAATGCAACCTTTCAACATAATCATGGTGAAATCTGGTGAGAAGTTTACGGACACGAATTCACTTCTTTTGTATTCTATATTCTGTGCTGAATGTCTATAGAGCGTATGAGCTACGATAATTCATAAATACACGATTTATCTTCTTGAATTATCACTTATGATAGAATAACAGATCTTAAAATTGCAGAATATATTGATCACAAGATCCTGTATGACTAAAAATTTTCATACATTATGAACTGTTTAAAAAAGCTTGAGTACAAAGATATCTACAGTACACAAAACAAGTTTTCCTTTTTTGTCTAGTAAATCAGTTGTCTGCTAACTGTTTCAATGGCTAAAGGACTTTATTTCTCCAAAAATTGCAAGCGAATATGAAAGTATCGTTAATAAAAAACCAAGTCGCCACAAGATAAGTTATTTTGAAGCTTTTACCGGAGAGATTCAAGTGTTAACCAGTTTTAAAGTTAAGGCACTTGCAAAACAAATAGGTTTATCACATTTTGATAAGAATAGACAGATTTGATTGATAATGCCTAGTCCAGAACAAATTATAACGAATTAGAAACATACTTTTCAAGTAGTCAGTGTCATAAGTCGACATTATGTGGCAGTATACTTAAGTTCTTTAATGTTCATATTTGCTTTAAAGCCACAAGCGTCGTCTACCTTGATATAAGACAAATTGTCTTATTACTTTATTGGTTTTGAAATTATCAACTAAGACTGGAAATATTCATTGAAGTAAAACATATTATTTTCCCAACATGGAGGTTTTGATTTTTCCTTAATTTGCCTCACCAGTATATTTGTTCTCAAGTCATAAAAACAAGAAAGATAAATCTGCTGCATTTTCAACTAATGATACCCGTCAAGTCACATTAGTATTAAAAGAGACAGACTAGTGTTGCGGTGAAGCCACTTCCAAAGTACTCAGTGACAAAAGGATAAATTTCGACAGTTAACTAAAATCACTTAGCTGCTGAGTTTAATCAGTCACGACAAACAAACAAGTATTTTTTCAAGTGACGTCATATAAATTGGGAATACAATATTCCTTAACGTGGATATGGTCAGGTTTTTCAATTACCAACATAACTATTTAGTGATCTGCGCCTTTCTGAATTAAAGAAAAACATTCCGTTCTCACTAATTTCCTGCAATAAAACCAGTCACAACCCTAGCGAAAAAACAATAGGATATATGTTGTCTTTATAAATGTATCTCTAATATTTAATCCACTAGCGTCAACCGAGAAGTAATTTCGGACTGCTCCATTCAACAACCCATTTCCAGTACCACAAACATTAATCAACCTCATTCAACAGCTATATGCTATATTATGCTACATACCAAGTACTTCACAATGGAAACATCAGTCACGCATTTCCAGTGAAGACACGAGTAAGACAAGATTGCCAACTCCCATCACAAATCATCTTCCCCATTGTAGTCAACTGAACTAGACTGAATCATGCAACAAACTGTCAGCAGCGAGAAGGTCGACATTCACTAATTGACAGATAAAACAATCCTAGAAGATGTGAATTTAGCCGATGACGATTTATGTCTAATGTCTTGTCGCACGAAGTCGAACATGTAATGGCGAGAACTAACAAGTTGGCAGAAGAGGCAGCGAAAGGGCATCGAAGACGAGACTTCATTCACATGAGCGTAGATAAGACAGAGGTGATGAAGATACCCAACCAACAACATCATCATCAACAACAACAACAGCAACAGCTACAGGCATCAATCACCATCAATGGGAAAAATCTTGAGAGAGTTGTCTCTTTCACCTACATAACTACCTACCTACATACCTACACACCTACAAAACTACATATCTACAAACCTACCCACCTACGTAACTACCCATCTACTCACCTACATACCAACCAACGAACCAAACTGGGCAGCATCATCACAACTACATGCGGCGGAACAGGCACACATGTGGATATCAAAGCCAAGATCGGAGAAACACCAAGACAGGCATTCATTAACCTTAAATAAGTGTAGAGATCCACTACACTGCACTGCAATGCAATGCAATGCAATGCAATGCACTACACTGTTCTGCACTCAGCACAAAGCATGAACAACATCCAGATTGTCAACACAAGTGCCAGTCACTCCAGTCTCTGCTTCTATGTGATGGTTGAGAGACTTGGCACGTTGCGAAAAGCATTCACAACAAACGGCAAACACACATCAATATCTGCCGTCTACGCTCACTCAGCACTGGAGATCTGATGGCCAGAATAATGAGAATAAGCAAGAAGGAAGTCACTGTGGCTGGCAACGAAGCAAGCAAGAACCCATCGTCCAGCAAATATGCAGCGGAAGAAGAGGAAGAAGAAGGTGTAGATGGATTAGATTGGATTGGGCATACACTGAGAAGACGGTTTGGGGACATCCATCGCTAGGCCAGACCAGGCTAGGCTATTCCAGGCGAGGTCTTGCGATGCGATGCGATGCGATGTCGTCGAGTGGAACCGAAATGGGAAGTGACGAGTTGTTCGTTCGAGGTTGACATTGATGAGATTGTGTGAGGAAGAAATGAAAGTATGTTGGGAGTGTTGTAGTCAGGTTTAATAGATTGGAGAGAAGAGAGTGAACTGGCAACGTGCTAGGAATCCAAAGGTCAAATAATGTAAATAATAAGCTACAATCTATTTGCTTTTCAGCGCCAATAGCTTTTATTCATATCCACTTAAACATTTTCACTGCTTAAATATCAGATAAGTAAAAATGAAACAACACTTGGGCACAGTAACTAGGTACGAAAACAACATCGTTTAGCGAATAGATTTGATATGAGTTTACTGTGTCTATCTCGTAGTCTACAAATATGAACCAGTTTTCAAATGCTTGAGTTATTTTTTTAATATTTTAGAATGTTTTTTAATACATCCTATTTATTCCTCCTTATGATATTTGCATGTGTTAAGGAAAATAACCAAATCACGACATTAAATCTGAGCTTTAACACTTTATGAAGAAGCGTAATCACTTTGAAACTGATCTTCCCATTTATCAACGCATCTCTTTTGATATCTAGTTATAAAGACAAGAAGGCCAGATTCTATAATGTGTGCATAAATCTGATTGACGATAGGGACATAATAGACATCCTTTTTCGGTTCACTAAATCTGCAAATCAGTACAGCTTTCGTAACAATAATGACAGAAATAAGTCATCAATAACTATCGCTTTCAGTTCATAATCCTGTAATCATTTTTATAAGCTTAGTAATGTATTAAATACTGAAATCTAGCTGACATAAATGATGGAATTTTATACTTCATATTAAAACTCAAAAAAAAAGCTATAAGACGAATCGTAAATAATGCTTCCGAGTCCGAGTCTCGGTGGGAACAACATTACTCACCGGGAGGCTGGGGCATCCAGCTGACGAGCCCCAAAGAGGACAAAATGCGCATCCTAGATTCTACTGCTAGACACAACCAATCATTAAACATCATAAATGTCATTTTTTTTATGTGTAAAATTCTTTTCAGAATTTAATAGGAGTCACATCTGAGTTACGTGAAAAACAATGAAAATATCTTAGAACCTTGTCTCAACTTCATACTGAAGTTAGTACTGATGATGTTGTCTGAAAAGACGATAAAAGCTTCACGATTAAACAACCCAGCTCAGAGAACACAATACAACCAAGACCATCCACCAGAGCTAAAAATATTCTCCATTAAATCAATTTTTATATTATATCAAATGCTTAACTATTCGGTGTTCTTAAGCTTGAGATTCACTGTTGTCATGGTTCCCAATCAGTCGTCCCTCAATAAGCTACGAGAAATTGGGAATGTAGTATGAAATGGTTATGGAACAGATGATATTCCACTGAACATGCTAGCGTTGTACCTACAGTGTCTAGTTGGTGAAACTCTATCTTATCTAGGAAAATGTATAATACTCCAGTTTAATACTAATCGTACATTGGAGATAAGTTAGATCTAAGATTTCATACACCCTTGATCCAACCAAGACATATTTTCTTCAAAGGAATATCATATTACAAAGTAAGGGGCAAAAAAGGTATTAATTATCGGTCAAAAATAATCACTTACAATTGTGAATTGTTTCCTCGACTTAAATAGAATACCGGAATTCGATTATTATTTGTAAGAGACTGACGAACTGCTTGTTTACTTGGAATATTCGATTTCAAATTTTCATCATAACTTTTAATTTCATCATGTTTAGAAGATCCTGGCAGCTGTGGTGAAGATGAAGGTGAGGATTTTGACGATATTGAATTAGAAGAGTAATCAGTATTCATATTTTCTGGTGTCATTTTCCTAGAAGTGGTATCTTCTATCTTTGTAAAAGATTAGACTGAAATTTCATTGACATTTTCTTCAAATAATCTTGATGAAATTAGCAGTATCAGAAATAATAGTAGGAATAATAATAAATAACTGATTTATTCACAATTTATGAGTATGAAATTGTTCTCTGAGTAAAATGTGTACAAAGCTTTCTTTTACTCTTGTATGTTTCGATATTTTTAAAATACAGAGTGGAATTATTTATTTTATCTAAAAATTTTTCACAGTTAACTGTACTTTCAAATGATTTAGCCTCTTTTTATCACATAATTAAATGTAAAGCATAATGAGGAAAGTACAAATTTCCACCCTCTTAGAAAATAGAGAAGAAAAATACACCAACAACAGGTTATTTCAATGTACTTTATTGAGATTTATTCTCATGACATATTCATTGAACAAATAAAATACTTTACATTATAATAATCGGTCTTGAGATGAACAATATTGTTCATTTTAATTATTAGATATTCTTCTTCCTCTTTTCCTTTCTCTCTCTTTCTCTCTATTTGTTTGTAGTTGGTTGAGAACCGATAAAATTTTTGGATAAAGTAAATTAAAACATTTAGAATCAACCAATGATTTCATCATTTGAGCAGTAATCTAAATTGAAAATATCAAAAAAGAATTCGAGTTGATATTTATCACAAATTGAAATTTGTTAGAGAACCACTGAAGACTGGATCACTGGACAGCTGTTTTCCACTAATACAGGACTCCTCAAATGTGCACATCCATAACCCCACGAAGCATCAAACCCAAGGTCACCAAGTTTCACCGTGAGTATGCTATCACTAAGCCACTGGGTTAGAATACAGTGGTTAATAATTCCTATTTCTGTCAGTCCCCTACACAACATGACCCAAAATTGGAGACTACTGCATTCTGAGTAAATAGCCTAAAAATAGTAAGCCAACCTTGATGACTTCGTTTGGCAGTGGAACATTTCAGAAATGTGCAGTGGCAAATAGTACTTCCTTTTTACTTCATTTCTTCTGATATCTACTTATAATTTAAAAACCATACTTTGAAAAAATTGCTTATTTTATCTCCTTTAATGAATACTGAAAATGAAATAAAAGCCTAGATCTATGCATATTTTAGATAAGTTCTTCAAATAAACTCAGATAGCACAAATAACGTCCCGTTATTTTATTTCAGGCTATACAGTAAACTAATATTTCAGTGCCATATTATTAACAGTCCGTTTCAAATCAAGTTAACTAATCTTCGAAACTAGTAAAAGAAGTACCCTTGAATAAAATCTCAGATCATTCTTTAACAGATTGCATAAAATAACCATTACATTTCAAACCATATTAACAACTTGTCAAAATTAATCCAAGATTCCCTTTTGGATTTCTGTTATCTTAGCATACAATTAACGAAAGGAGCGGGAGAAAAGTGACAAAACTTGAATTAATGAGAATCATTTGAATGTCCGTAAAGTGAATATGGCTAAAACAACATGTCAGACCAATCAACTATTCAAAAATACAAACATCAAAAAATTCGTTGGAAACCAGTAGGCCACTGTGTATCTTCAAACATGGACTATTATTTTAACAAACTCAAGAATATTTCATGAACAAAATATCAGTCGCAGCCTGAATACATGAATAACAACCCATCTCAGTATAGAAATGAAACATTATTATTATATATACGTCAGTTACCCAGTGGAATATAGAGCTTCAGTAGCACATCGCCAGTTCACTCTCTTAGCCCCAATCTATTAAACCTGACTCCAACACTCCCAACATACTTTCATTTCTTCCTCACACAATCTCATCAATGTCAACCTCGAACGAACAACTCGTCCCTTCCCATTTCGGCTACACTCGACGACATCGCATCGCATCGCATAGCATGAACTCGCCTGGAATAGCCTAGCCTGGTCTGGCCTAGCGACGGATGTCCCAAACCGTCTTCTCAGTGTATGCCCAATCCAATCTAATCCATCTACACCTTCTTCTTCTTCTTCCCCTTCTGCATATTTGTTGGACGATGGGTTCTTGCTTGCTTCGTTGCCAGCCACAGTGACTTCCTTCTTGCTTATTCTCATTATTCTGCCATCAGATCTCCAGTGCTGAGTGAGCGTAGACGGTAGATATTGATGTGTGTTTGCCGTTTGTTGTGAATGCTTTTCGCAACGTGCCAAGTCTCTCAACCATCACATAGAAGCAGAGACTGGAGTGACTGGCACTTGTGTTGACAATCTGGATGTTGTTCATGCTTTGTGCTGAGTGCAGAACAGTGTAGTGCATTGCATTGCATTGCATTGCATTGCAGTGCAGTGTAGTGGATCTCTACACTTATTTAAGGTTAATGAATGCCTGTCTAGGTGTTTCTACTATCCTCGCTTTGATATCCTCATGTGTGCCTGTTCCGCCGCATGTAGTTGTGATGATGCTGCCCAGTTCGGTTTGTTGGTTGGTAGGTAGGTGAGCGTGTAAGTAGATGAGTAGATAGGTGGAAGAGACAACTCTCTCAAGATTTCTCCCATTGATGGTGACTGATGCTGTTGCTGTTGCTGTTGTTGTTGTTGTTGATGATGATGATGTTGTTGGTTGGGTATCTTCATCACCTCTGTCTTCTCTATGCTCACGTGAAGGAAGTCTCGTCTTCGATGCCCTTTCACTGCCTCTTCTGCCAACTTGTTAGTTCTCGCCATTACATGTTCGGCTTCGTGCGACAAGATATTAGACATAAATCGTCATCGGCTAAATTCATATCTTCTAGGATTGTTTTATCTGTCAATTAGTGAATGTCGACCTTCTCGCTGCTGACAGTTTGTTGCATGATTCAGTCTAGTTCAGTTGACTACAATCGGGAAGATGATTTGTGATAGTAGTTGGCAATCTTGTCTTACTCGTGTCTTCACTGGAAATGCGTGACTGATGTTTCCATTGTGAAGTACTTGGTATGTAGCATAATATAGCATATAGCTTTGAATGAGGTTGATTAATGTTTGTGTTATCGATAGTGTAGCGTTGAAGCATTCAGCTGTCAAATTATTTTCTCCTGACGCTGTGAAAGGCCTTTTCAGTGTCTACGAAGTTGAGATGATGCTTTGACTGTCAACTTATGCTCTGTTCTATGACGATGCATAGCTCAGTTTGCATTTTGATCCGCACACGATTTGTTCTTTATGATGGCATCTGTTTCTGTAGGAATTCAAAATAGGCAGAAGGTTTTAGTCTCCCACGCATGATGCTTCCGAATATTTTCTTGTTGTAGACAGAAGCATGATTCCGTGCCAGTTTTTGCAAAGCCTTAGATCTCCCTTCTTTGTGAAATTGACAATGTAGCCCATCTTCCAATTGTCAAGTACGTTTTCTCCCTTCCAAACCTTCTGCACCACTGAATTATGTTGTTTTGAATCTTTCAGATGACATTGGTTTGCTGATATGCTTTACTGGAAAGTACTAGAAGCCGCAAAACCTAGATTTAAATCTTTCAGTTGACTGCTTTCGGCGAATTAATATCAATCCAAATAACAGCGTTGGTAAGTCTCCTAGACTGGTAACTAAACACCGGAATCATCAATGAACTTCAGTTAACAATTAGGACCAAACAATATTAAAGTGGCTATCGTCCACCAACCAATCAATGCCTCTAATGGACAGACAGTTGGCAGTTAGGAGTATGAACATGGAAACATTATGTGGTAGTGAACAAGATGGGCAAATATACAACACATCACTTTATTTCTTCTGATTGATTATGTGGTCTCTTCATCTATTTTTTTACCTTTCTAACGAGTAAGGTATACTGGCTATAAATTTATTGTAACAGAAGACAAAGGGAGATATTTATCTTTGCAATGAAGTTAGAGTTTCGTTTACCCAAAAAATAGGGCAATATAATATTCTTTTACTGAACTAAATTTCATTTACAACAGTAACCTGAACCACTTTTTCACAGCGTATCATTCCTCTATATTGTTCATGCAGGGATTTTTTAATTTTGACAAAAATTTAATGAACCAGACAAATACCATTTTTCACAGCCAAAATTCACCACAAAATGTTTATCGTCTTTTTGATGGTATCTTCTTGTGACGAGTTGAAGCTTCATTCCAAGTACCAAACTCACTCTAAAAAGAGTTTTCCCATTAAAAGATAATATCAACCAAGGTAGATAGAAATAATTCAGTTTAACTAGTAAAGTGAGATATCTCTAAGGTCGCGTACTAACTAAAAAAAGGCAGTCTGTCATTCGATTATCAGCGATCAAGTATTTACCTGTGCGTAAAACGATGAACTGTACAAGGATAAGCTATACAAATATATACTGATCACATGCAGACATTTACTGTTCAAATAGAATGCCTGAAAATACCCTTTTTTACTGGTAAAGACAACACATGTATCTGCGTATAGGAGTAAAAAGAAAAGCTAGAATCTGTCTATTCAGCCGGTACATAGTAAATGTCACATTTATGATTTATCATGTATTCCTTTTATTTCCAAAAATTTGCTATCATCTAGAAGTGTAATGACTACATGAGTTGCGTCTGTAAGTTATTTGGCAACCTTAACAGGAATACGAACAGCAAGTTTTATTCAAAATCCCATTAGGTATATGGTCCTTATGATAAAGTAAATACATAGAAAAACATGCAAACAAATGTTATAAATCGTTTCAACTTGTTAAAATGTCACTATTAAATTACCTTAAGCATTCAGTGTATGTTCTGTAGTGTAAAACCAACTGGACACCATGTTCTGTGGAATTTATGCATATTTATGATAACATGAAGTCGTTTGGCATTAATGCTTGATTACGAAAAACATTAGTTTTATTCATTGAGTTTTATGCATCGAAGGTGATTATTTCCACTGAGGTTTAGGCAATTGGCTCAGTACTAGCCATCTGATGAGTAAATAATTGAAGTATATAGTATGCTGAATGCCTAATATGATGGACTCAGAATCTTCTTAAAATATTGCCAACTATGGAT